GGAGACAAGGTTTCTAGGACCTTGAGGGGGCTACCTGTTGTTGGGAAAAAGTCACTTATTACTGTCTAACAAAATCTTAGTCATGAGACCCTTCAGATGTATATTGGTGGGTCATATGATTGGGGATGACTGCCAACATGTATCTTGGAAGGTAGGGATAAAGGGAATTTCCAAAGGAATTTTTATATGTTAAAGTAGACTTACAGGATCCTGGGGGTCTGGCTAAGATTGCCTTTTGCCCTTAGCAAAGTGTCAACATCCAGGCAGTTGAGTCCCTAGAGAAATGTCACTCTGCCTGTTTCAAGGACTTGTCAATGGACTGTAAATAGTAAGGAAATTTAATAATTTTTCTTCTGCTCTTATTTCCCATATCATCACCTTACTCCCCCACCACTGCTTTCATTTTCCTTTTGTTCTGTAGCATTTTTCATCTCCTAACATACCATCTACTTTATTTATTGTCTTTACTTATTGTTGTTTGTTCTTCCTGCTAGAATGTGAGTGTCCAGAAGAGCAAAAACATTCCCCCAACCTTGGTGTACTTTTCTTCCCATCTAAACTAGTGCTACATTATAGATGTTCAATAAATTGTCTTTTAATAAATGAATCAGTCTAAGTTTCTTAATGATATAAAATAAGCTCCATGGAGTGCCTGGGTGGCTCAGTGGGTTAAGCATCTGCCTTTGGCTCAGGTCATGATCCCAGGGTCCTGGGATGGAGCCCCACATCGGGCTCCCGGCTCAAAGGGGAGTCTGCTTCTTCTTCTCCCTCTGCTGCTCCCCCTGCTCATGCTCTCTCGCTCTCTCTCAAGTAAATAAAATCTTATAAAAAAGTTTAAAAAATAAAATAAGCTCCATTAATGTTGTTTTTCTTTTTCTTTTCTTAAAGATGTTATCTATTTATTTGACAGAGAGAGAGCACAAGCAGGAGGTGTGGCAGAGGGAGAGGAAAAAAACAGGCTCCCCGCTAAGCAGAGAGCCTGATGTGGGGCTTGATCCCAAGACCCCAGGATCATGACCAGAGCTGAAGGCAGACGCTTAACCAACTGAGCCACCTAGGCACCCCAATGTTGTTTTTCATTAGCTGGTATGTCTTGTTTTAGAATTTAGCATATAAATAATTTCTATGAGTTAAGTACCCTCTGGCTCTGGAACTGAAGTTTGCTGAGGAGCAGTAAAATTTTACTGACTCTCATGTCCTTGTCTCTCCCATCCTCCACTTACCCCCAGCCCCCCTTCTATATAGAGGGAAAGCAAATGAGGTAGCAACAGATAGGAAAGGAAAACATAAATAATTCAGTCTTTATAGTGTACTAGAAAATGTACTGGTTAATTGAATATCTAAATTTATGGTAAGACCAAAGGTCACCAAGATATGGAAGAAATACCATAGGTAGACATAATCATGAAAGCTTAACATGCACCAGAAAACATGTCTGTGTAAGAGAAGTAATGTGATTGGCTAATTTTAGTCAAAACAATGCATTTTCTTGTCTATTTGTCTAGTTCTTGGTGTGCCGTTTTTCTGCTCTTTTTTTTTTTTTTTAAAGATTTTATTTATTTGACAGAAAGAGACAGCGAGAGCAGGAACACAAGCAGGGGGAGTGGGAGAGGGAGAAGCAGGCCTCCCGCCGAGCAGGGAGCCCGATGCGGGGATGCGGGGCTCGATCCCAGGACCCGATGCGAGGCTTGATCCCAGGACCCTGGGACCATGACCCAAGCCGAAGGCAGATGCTTAACGACTGAGCCACCCAGGCGCCCCCGTTTTTCTGCTCTTTAAACAATTTCCTCCTATAGTGTAAATCGTTTTTACTATGTTTTGAAATGCTGTGGTTGGGAGTGGGCAGGGAGAGGAAAATGCATTGTTAAAGAGACTCATTCCACAGCCAAGCTGCCTGGGTTCTAATCTCAGCTTTGCTACTAACTGCACAACTGGGGATAAGTGATACACAAGTCTTCACCTTACCTTTCACATGTGTGAAATGGTGTTACTAAGAGTATTACCCGATGAGGTTGTTTTGAGGAATGGCCCCTCGTAGCACACAGTGCCTTACTACACAGCGTTCACTCTATAAGTAGCTATTTTTATAGAATAGTGGCGTGTTTTCTGAAACAAAAGTGCATAATTTCAAATTGGCTTTTTATACATTACATTTTCATAAAATGATACTGGTCATATAATACTAACAAATTTTCATTACTATTACTTAAAAAAAGCTCTGGGCTCAAGTGAATTTTTAAATTCCTATACGAGAAAACCTATAATTTGAAATACGAAGTTTAGAGAAAGATGCTGCAGATGGTGGTGTTGAAAGACCTCTTTGTATCTCATGGTACATTGTACACAGTACTGTACAAGAGGTAAAGCAATTCTACCTTTACCTTTCTGAGTTCTTGGCTGAGACCCTTGTAATAAAAAATAGATTAACAAGAGAATAAACCCAGACGTTTATTGACATATATCCTCATGTATACATGGGAGATATCCAGGGAAAAATGAATAACTCTCAGAGGTGCCTCTAGCTTAGATACCGTCTTCAGCTAAAGAGAAAAGGAAGAAAGGGAGGGGAGGCTAGTTGTGGGGAGGTACCAGGAAAAGCAGTGTAAACAAGTGTAAGATTTTTTTTTTCAAGATTTTATTTATTTATTTGACAGAGAAAGACAGAGCAAGAGAGGTAACACAAGCAGGGGGAGTGGGAGAGGGAGGAGCAGGCTTCCCGCGGAGCAGGGAGCCCGATGCGGGGCTCCATCCCAGGATGCTGGGATCATGACCTGAGGGGAAGGCAGATGCTTAAGGACTGAGCCACCCAGGTGCCCCTAAACAAGAGTAAGATTTGTTATGCAGATTTAGGTCTGCATCTTCTCCATTTTTGAGGGTCTAAAGTTGTCTCAGAGGAATAATCTTTGTCCTTCCTGGGAGGGAGGGAGGGAGGAGAAGGACACTTTTGTAAATTTATGTCCTGCTTTTAGACAAATACAAGGAGAACAGAGAGATTTTTCTTTTATCTGCTTCTTCTCAATTGCCTTCAATTCAAAATAATCCTTATGCCAAAGTGGCATATTTTGGAACGGCATCTTCTGCTGCCTTTCAGTAGGAATTTCCCTAGGAAGCTGTTTCTCTAAGGAGATACACTGCCAAGAACTGTGAGGGATCTGATATTTTATTCCACTTGTAAGCTAACAGGTAGCCTGCCACAGTTTCATAGAAGTTGACAGATGCATGAGATTCCTCTGTCAGAGACAAAGGGTTTTATTACTCATAGCACCACAGGCAGCGTGACCTTCAGGCTCTCATAGATTCTTCTTGCTCCCAAGTGTCCCCAGGTTGAACTGAGCTTCGAGGCAGGTGCTGCACAAGCAGCCAGGGTTCGGATCAGAATGGAGAAGTCCAAATTTAGGACTGTCATGCTAACAAACCAACCCAAACTTTGCCCTGGAGGGACAGATTATCTTTGTTATCCTGCAACAAATTTCTCTGCCCTTGAGGGAAATACTCTCCCTATCTTTGAAACTATGTGTGTAGAAATGCAAGAGAATCATGGAGACTTGACCCCCAACATACATAAATGCAATACAAATGTAAGACTATTATTATGAAAAAAATGAACAAAAATTCTGACCAGAGATTTAGACTAACACTGTAAATATAAAACACTCAATGCCCTCTGAGCATTTCTCAATTAGAATAAAACCTTGCAACAATTTGTTTTGCTTTGTAGTGCATTATCACTTGATGCTTTAACAGTCATATGTTTTCCCTCTTATCAAGTAGGTTTTATCATCTCTCTCTATTTATTTATTCTAATAATCTAACCTTATTGCCTAAATTATTTCTTACTGTGTTAGAGGAACTAACACACACTTTCTCAAGAGCGGCTTGTACATTAGCAATCTTCCTTTCTCTCTGCCTCTTTCTGATAAAATTAAGTTTCACAAGGTACAACATGTTCCTTCTCTGTAGTGTAGCTGGGCAATTATTACTCAGCTTTGCAAGGTGGTTTTCCTCTGCTAATAGACAGCTAACGTTTCCCCCCCACATCCTTATTTTTAAGAAACATTTTAGCGGTTGTCATATGCTTCAGAGATAATATCATCCTGCTCTTTTTCTTTGTTTTTAAGCTAAAGCTACACCTGCCCTGTTGTTTGGTGTATGTATATTGCATCCTGTCCTTTTAAAGCCAGAGCTACAAAATTCATCTGAGTTCCAGAGAAAAGCAGAACTGTCAATTACTATTACTTAATAAATTAAAGTAACTGTTTAACTTTTCACCAAGTGATAAAAACCAAGCTGTTCCCATCAGTGGATATAATTAGGAGGCACATCCTAAGAGTGAGTCATTGGTAGAGTTGTCAGAAAATATACAGGCTATCCTGTATATTAATGTATAAACAGTGAATGATTTTTTTTACAGTAAGCGTATGTCTCGTGTGATATTTGGGATAAGTACATTTTAAAAAATCATTGTTTATTTGAAAATGGAATTTACCTGGACATCCTGTATTTTTATTTGCTAACTCTGGCAACTCTATTCGCCATTTATCCACCAAACTACAAGTAACCTTTTGGTAAAATTTCGCATCAAGTGGGTTTTAGCTCAGAAGCACTCCCCTTGGGGCAGAGATAAAGCCTTCAAAGTTTTGGTGTTGTGACGTCAACACTACGCAAAAATAAATGTGAGTAACGGAAAGTTTTGAAATTCACAGATGTAGATTTAGAAGTCCAGCTCAAAAGAACAGAGGAGTAGACTAAAAGAAGTCATGGACTGGCGGGTTTGCGGGTTCTCGGAAGAAAGGAAACTTCAGCGTGGAGAGCCTAGCCAAAAAGGGTGAATGTTCCCGGAGCAAAGCCTTCTGTAGTTTAGTGAGGAGAGAGCGCGAGACCTGAGCGAGCCAATAGGAGCCGAACAAAAGGGGGCTGGGTGCGTGAAGCCAATCAGAGATGAGATGGGTGGGACTAGACTCCGGGAAGGAGCGGGCTTCGGCTGCCTGGGCTCCGAAAGGCGGAGCTCAGCCAATCGGAACCGAGAAGGGCGGGGTTGGACTCCGGGAAGGGGCGCTCTCAGGGAAGTAAACCGCGTTGCAAGCGCGTCTTTCAGCCTCACCTGCCTCTGCATCTGCCCTGCACCTGCAGCTTCGCCCTTCCCCAGTAGGGCTGACGCTGACTAGAAGGGTGACGGGGGACGCCTGCTCGCGTCGTCATGGCCTACCCGGGATACGGAGGAGCGGTGAGTCCTGGCAGCTTCTCCACCGCCTCCGCCCCCGCGGGGTGGGGCGCCTCCGCGGGCGGTGCCAGCGTGCGGGGTCCGCCCCCTCCCTCCGCTTGGTTTGACGGGTCTCTGGTACTCCGCGGGTTTGAGGCACCGCGCGGTGTTGGAACCTGGGGCCAGGGTTGAGCAGGGAGCCACAGGTTTTCTGGTCCCTGGGGGCCCCTTTAAGCGAGTCCTTGTGAGGCAGGGATGGTGCTGTGATTTTGGAAAATTGCCTCCTGGATTGGAGGAACAAAAGCGCCCTTTTCTTGTTCCAGTAATATTTTGTGGTCCACCCCCACCTTCCTCAGTTTTGCTAGACGTCCTCTTTCTGAATTTTTGGCCACTTCTTGTTTTCTGTCCTTTAAGTTGCTTATGGATAAATTAAGATATGCCAAATGTCTCTTAATTTTTACTATTCTACCAAGGGCAATCTGTTCTAGACTTTTTTGGGAGGTGGGAAGGATTAGGTTACTCTTTCTTACATAATTGTTTATCCTTAGTCTCCTTTGAGAGTTGGAAGTTTGTAATTTGTGGTTATATACTTTAATTCCTGAAATTGCCTTTTTGGGTCTCTTTTGATGGTCTTTTCTCTTTTTAAAAGAAGCAACTTTGAAAAAAATCCCATCTTTTTTTGTTTGTTTTTAATCCATTATATTGTTTTAACATTTACTGTTTACTTGTACTTCATTGCTTCGTAATTTAGTTGTGTATTTCCTGGAGTTTGAAGTGCATTTTTTTGGAGCTCCAACACTTCCTCCATACCTTTACCCTTATACATCCAGCCGCACAGCTCTTCAAACTACTGGTAGTATCCGACCTTTTGACTACTTGCTTCCCGCTCCCTCCCCCCCCCCCATGTTAGAATTCTTTTTTTTTCTTTTTGCCTTCTGGCAGAAATCATCCTTCAAGGATGCAGGTCAAGATTTTTGTTCAATATGGAATAACAAACAATCTTGATACTTCTTTCTCTTCCAGACTCATAAAAATGCTCAGTAAAATGCCTTTCTAAGGTATTAAAAATGTATACCAAGTTCCAAAGTGAGAAAAGTAGAGAGAAGCCATAGCCATAGTAGGAAACAACCATCAGAATACCTGCATTTGAACCATGGTCTCCTTCTTACTAGTTATTTGACCTTAGCCAATTTAGGAAACCTTGTGAAGTTTTAGGTTCTCAATGACAAAAAGGACATAGTAGTTTCATACCTCAGAAAGTTTTTGGAAAATCAAAGCACATAATGGAAAGTACTTAGTACCTGGGCTATAAACTCTCAGTAAATATTAGCTGTGTATTATTTTTGTTGGTATTCTTACTGTTTTTCTTATTAGTTTTGAAGATTGTTGTTGGAATTAATCACTTGATTGATCTGTTTATTGGTGTCTTGCTTTTTTAAAAATAAATATTTTCTGATGGAGAGGATGTTTGCATTCTATACAGTTTCCCATGACTTGTTCACAGTTTCATTATATTTACCATGTATTCTTCTAAGTATGTATCTGAAGTATACTACTTCTTAGTTTGACTGTAGGTGAAATTTTTTTGCTTTTTGTTTATTTCGGTGATGTTGATGGTAAACACTTAAAAAGTGTGCTTTATGCTCATCTGTTAGATTAAGTTCTCAGAGGCTAGAAAGTTTTTTTTTCTGTTACACTTCTTTTGATGTTGGATAATGTGTTAATGAACTGAATTATGTCCTAATGCAGGACATGTAGCATTTTGTAGCTAATAGCTTTTGTGATAGTGAATTCGGTTGCTTTTAGTATTTCTTTTTATTCTTGCTTTTCAGTGGACTCCTCATAAGTATTTTCTTTTAAGCCAATTTTGGTGGATAACAGGTAATATTTGTATTAGTAACCTTATCCTTTTTCACTCTTATAGTTTGGAAGTTTTAGTGGTCAGATGCCAGGAATGCAGATGCAAATGGGACAGCCAGTGCCAGGAACAGGGCCAAACCTACTGCGTGGTGGATACCCAGCATATTCTGATAGTTATTCCTCAGTGGGAGACCCCATGTGGACATACTTCACTGCTGTTGCTGGACAGGTGAGATGTTAAATATATGGCACAAACATCAGTTTTTGAAAGCATTGCTGTTTAAAAGAAATGTCAACTCTGCTGCCTTTGGCTCAGGTCATGGTTCTAGGGTCCTGGGATGGAGCCCCACATTGGGCTCCCTGCTTGGCGGGAAGCCTGCTTCTCCCTCTCTCACTCCCCCTGCTTGTGTTCCCTCTCTTGCTGTCTCTCTCTCTCTCTCTGTCAATTAAATAAATAAATAAAATCTTCAAAAAAAATAAAAGAAATGTCAACTCTATTACTTAGTATGTCATTTTAAATGTATATGAAATTTATATTTTAAACTTATCTAGACTAATTTTTCTCTTGAGATCAGAGATGAGGGTAGTCATAATTATTTTATTTTTTTAATTTTTAAAAATTTATTTATTTATTTTAAAAGATTTTATTTATGTGAGAGAGAAAGAGAGCGCATGAGCAGGGTGAGGGGCGGAGGGAAAAGCAGACTCCCCACTGAGCAGGGAGCCCAACGCGGGGCTCTCCATCCTAGGACCCCGAGATCGTGACCTGAGCCGAAGGCAGACACTTAATCGACTGAGCCACCCAAGCGCCCCAATTATTTCATTTTTAGAAGTCTGTTAGTGTGATGCCTGGCACATTGTTCATTTCACTAAGACTGGAAGCTGTGGTGCATGACGACTGAGCCAAAGAGGATTGGGGAAAAGAGATCTACGTGATCTATATGTTAGTCTCCTTGAAGAAGCTGGGACAGAGTATCAAAAAGGAGATTTTTAAATTGTGAATGGTTCTGGGAGAGACTTGATGGTAAACCAGTCAAGAAAGGGTAAAGACAACAGAGCAGAATGGAGGTTCAAATATCAGACTAGTGAGAAGAGACAGATTCACACTTGATCTTAGTCACAGTCTGTATCTCTTCTTTTAGACTCACCAAGAAAAACTTATGGAATAGTTAGAATTTCACAGAACTTTGATAACATTTTCATTTATTATTCATTCACTTTAGTGTTCACTAGATCCCATATGCTTGGCTAGAAATAGAGGATATATACAGAATTATTATATATGGTGGACACTTTATTTTGGTGACCCCAGTTCCATTCACAACCTCTTTTTCCCTTCTGTGGTAGGAGTTGGAAAAACCCTAATACCATCCCGGACGCCTTTGAATCTTGTAAAGGTAGCCGTATGCCACAGGACTGGCCATTGCGATGTAGGTGTAATTTCTTTAGGATGCTTTCCTTTCCTAAATGAGAAAAACCTTCCTGGCAACTAGTGTTGGCCCTTTTTGCTCCTTAATTCTTCCTGCCTGGAAAGGGAACTTGAGGTATGGAAGTGCGGCAGCGATCTTGGTACCTTGAGTCAACAAGCTTGAGATAAAGGCCATTGGATGGGATATATAGAAAAATGTAAAGAGAGTGATGGCATTGTGAAGTTGCCATACAGTCCTGTTCTGCCTAGCCTCAGACTTCTTGTATAAAACAATAAACCCTTATTGGTTTAAACCTCTTTGATAGTATTTTCTATTTTTTTTTTTAAAGATTTTATTTTTTTATTTATTTATTTGACAGAGAGAGATAGCGAGAGCAGGAACACAAGCAGGGGGAGTGGGAGAGGGAGAAGCAGGCTTCCCGCTGGGCAGGGAGCCTGATGCGGGGCTTGATCCCAGGACCCTGGGATCATGACCTGAGCCGAAGGCAGACGCTTAACGACTGAGCCACCCAGGCGCCCCAGTATTTTCTATTTTTTGCAGCTAAATGCAATGCTGTTACATGATACCATTCTTATCTGCAAAGAGCTCTTAAGTAGTGTAATGTGGGGAATAAATCTGTTATCTATAATTGACCATATAATCTATTTTACAAAATTACAACTTAAAACATAGGAACTAGGCATATATATTTAGAAACTTTTATTTGACTTCTGAACTCTTTCAGGCTTACAGTTGTGAACAATAATTTGCATGTTTGTACTATTTGATACTTGCCTTAAATTTTTCATAGTTTTGTGCTTTTGAAGATTTATTTATTTTAGGTGGGGAGAGGGGCAGAGGGAGAAGGAGAGAGAGAGAGAGAATCTCAAGCAGTCTTCGCATTAAGTGCAGAACCTGATGGGGGTGGGGGCGCTTGGTCTAATGACCCTGAGATCATGACCTCAGCTGAAACCAACAGTGGCATGCTTAACCGACTGCACCACCCAGGTACCCCTAGTTTTGTGCTTTTGAATAGTAAAACTCCATGAGGACATGGCCCTTGTCATTTTCTCCTTTATCAAGTAAGCACTAGGAATATATTAATTATTCAATAAATGTATTAGATGGTAAATGAAGGGGGGGAAATCAGAGGGGGAGATGAACCATGAGAGACTATGGACTCTGAGAAACAAACTGAGGGTTCTAGAGGGGAGGGGGGTAGGGGGATGGGTTAGCCTGGTGATGGGTATTAAGGAGGGCACGTATTGCATGGTGATAGGTATTAAAGAGGGCACCTACTGAATGGAGCACTGGATGTTATACACAAACAATGAATCATGGAACACTACATCAAAAACTAATGATGTAATATATGGTGATTAACATAACATGATAAAATAAAAAAATGTAAAATAAAAAAATATATTAGATGGATGCATAAACTGTCTCATCTTCAATGTTCAGTCTAAATATTTAAGCAATTCTTTTGTATGTTGAATTTTGCCTAGCTTTAAGGAATCAGGTGAGTTTACTGAACTCACTTCTGCATCTGTATTTTTTTTTTTGATGGTCTCATAATTAATGATGTTCTATGAGAAATGTCCAATTAAAGGTTTCTACAGTGTTCCTTTTTATTGGATAACATTTTTTGAACAGTAGTGATTCAATCATCAGTTGATAAGGGGAAATTCTGGTTTGTACCTTTGCAAATACACATACACACACACACGCACACACACACATGCATGTCAATAATACCAACAACTTTAACTTGAGTGTGCATACTGCTTCTGCTTTTTCACACAGCAGCTCTGTGAGGTAGGCAGGATGGATGTACCCTTTTATTATAAATGAGTAAGTGGAGATTAAGGTTTAATAACTGAACAAAGAGAACTTGAACTTGGGTATCATTTCAAAATCTTGCTGCCTATTAGTTAACCTAACCAATGGCAACTAATTTTTTGTTCATTATCTAACTAATAATTAAAGCTCTTATTCAATTAGAAAATGTAGTTTTCTACCACTAATGCTCTTTTTTTGGTTAGGGTTCATAGAGTTGGTCATTATCATTAGCTCAGACTGCAGTAAGGAGATCCAAAAAGATCACTTAGATTTCCTACATATAATTTGGGAAGACATTACTTGTTAGTCTGTTAGTCAATTAAGGTAACATGTTTTCATAAAATGTATGAAATATGAGTATGAGGTAGTGTAGTATACTAGGAGAATGCTTTCTGGTGGTAATAACTGTAGAAAAGCTGTTCAGGTTGTTTTTCGGACCCTCAGAATACTGGAAAAGCTCATGTAAAATAGAATTTCACTCATTAATTAGATTTTAGATTTTTTAAATTTAATCGACACTTGAATGCGAGGTTGTAATATTTTCAGCCTTTTGAAATAGTAAATGGATGTGGCCACAAACTGTTAGAAATGACTATAGTTGAACGAAGAACCAGTGGTAATTGTCTTCATTCCACCAGACAACCAACCTGCTTTGTACTATGTACTGTACTAGGGCTTGGGGATGCAAAGATGAGTGAAACTCAGATCCTGACTTAGAAGAGTTCTGCCTAGTAAGGGAGACAGACACACAGGGAATGATAATGGTACCAGGAAAGAAGTGCTAAAGGTAAACAGGCGAAGATTATGGCAACACTGAGAGAGCATTCTCTGATCTTTATGCTTGTTCTCTTTGCCTAGAACAGCACTGTCCAAAATAAACATAACAAAAGCCACAAACATAAGCCACATATGTAGTTTTGAAGCCTCTGTTAGTACATTTTAAAAAGTAAAAACAAAAAAGTGAAATTAATAGTATATTTTATTTAACCCAATATATCAGAAATACTAATATACCAATATGTAATCAATATAAAAGTTATTAATAGGGTGTGGTATATTTTTGTTGTTACTAAGTCTTTGAAATCTGGCATGTATTTTACACTTACAGAACATCTCAGATCAGACTAGCCATGTTTCAGTGCACAGTGGAATATATGGCTAGTGGCCACTATATTGGACAGCTCAGGCCTAGAACACTCTTCCCTCAGATATCTGCATAGCTTGCTCCTTTACTTCCTTCAGATCTTCCTCGAAATTCACTTTATGAATGAATAAGTCAATTCACCCTATAAGGAAATTCACCTATCAGTGATTCAGTTATAGGTGAATTCACTTTATCAGCCTCAGTGAGGCTTTCCTTAACTGTCTGTACAAAGTAGCTTTGGTCCTCATGTCATTCTTCCTTATCTAGTGGTTTTGTGATTGTCCCCACCTTGATTGTGTCCAGAATCCGATTTCATGACAGTTCATGAAATACACCACCTACCTGGCAGTGGTATTGCAGATCCCATCAGCAAACGGGGGGGTAGCTTAGCTTAGCATTTTAGTCCTGCTTTCCTAAGCCTTCCACTTCTCAGAAGTGGTATCATCAGACAACAGTCTATAGTATATTTTGTTTGTTTTGTTTTGCTCCTTGTCCTGAGTAGAATGTCCCGTCTCACTTCCTGCTTTCAGGCAGTGAGCCACTCACATTCCCCATGCCTTGTGAAGTCCTCAGAAGCATGCCCCCTGCCTGACTTCATATCTGCCCTCACTCTACTTCCTAGTTTTTGACCATGTGGTGTACCCAAACCCAATTTAAGTTTGGAATTTCATATGTATAAATTAGCTTCATACAGTTTGAAAAACAAACTATTCAAATAAAGCAATGAGCCTCACATATATTTAGTTAGAGAAATAAATGTCTTTTTCTCTCACAATTATTTTCCTTCTCCATTGCCATAGAAGGTCCCCTAACTTGCTGTTGTATTGCTAAGTGGCTTAAGGTCCAGCTAGGGTAAGGCAAATGAGAGACTCACCTTTAAATTGAAGGGGGCTTAAAAAATTTAATAATTGTGATAAATAATGTTTTAACCCCATATTAAAAAATTAATGCAAAAAATCTATGATGAATAAATATCCAATTTTTAAAAAAGATTTATTCATTTTTGAGAGACAGAGAAAGGGAGAGAGAGAAAGTGGGGGGAGGGACGGAGGGAAAGGGAGAGACTCTCAAGCAGACTCCCAGCTGAGTGTGGAACCGCCCTTGGGGCTCAATCCCAGGATCCTGAGATTATGATTGGAAGGGGAAACAAGAGTCCCATGCTCAACAGACTGAGCCACCCAGGTGCCCCTGCACTGGGACCTTTTGATGAATGTAATGGAAAATGCCCTGAGTTTTATAGCATTTAATTCTGAACTCGTAAAATAATAATCTTGGTTTTTCATAGGAAGATTACACATTCAGTTCTGAAGTACAAGACACAGACAGACTGCATTCTACCTTGTAGCAGTGCAAAGCAGCGTGGGGAAGGAAGCATAGACCTTGCAGATAAATAAGCATGTAGAAATTTGATGCATGGAGTTTAAAGCTCTTTTTTTTATTTTGTGGGAGAGAAAACAGTGAGATGTGTTTCTTAGTTTCACTCATTCAAAAAGGTTAACAAAGACTAAAATACTATTTACATTCCTTAACTCAAATTTATAATGACTTTTTCTGGGTCTTTTGAACCTACTACTTTTCAACTTTGCTTCCTCTATAATCTTTGTTCTTTTTCTACAAAAGAATTTCCATACTCTTCAGGGTCCCTTCTTTGTCTTTGAATGTACAGAAAGAATCCAGAGAAAGGTCCTCTATGTGCTAAGTGGACTTTTCTGTGAAATGTTACAAAAGAAGCTCCTGTTATCATCGGACCACATAGGATTGATTTGCTTCATTTTAATTGTATTGGTCAAGGGTTTTAGTAAATTCGAATTGCTCTTTTATAGAAAGTTTTAATTTCGAGCCTGTTTGCACAATGTTATTTTTATAAATGAGGAATAAAATTGATGAAGCTTAGTAATTCTCACTAATTTTATTCTCAGGTTTAGTATCATTTTCCCACTTAAGAAAAGTTAAAGAAAGGGACACCTGGGTGGCTCAGTCGGTTAAGCGTCTGCCTTCAGCTCAGGTCGTGATTCCCAGGGTCCTGGGATCGAGTTCCACATCGGGCTCCTTACTCAGCAGGGAGCCTGCTTCTCCCTCTGCCTGCTGCTCCCCCTGCTTGTGCTCTCTGTCTCTTTCTCTCTCTCTCTGACAAATAAATCCTTGCTCTGTGGGGAGCCTGCTTCTCCCTCTCCTCCCCACTTGTGCTCTCTCTCACTATCTCTGTCTCTCTCTCTCTCAAATAAATAAATAAAATAAAAAAAAAAAAATCTTCAAAAAAAAAAAGAAAGTTAAAGAAAGAGGCAATTTATAAACATGTTATATTTAGTGTAGTGAAGATAGGAGACCTTTTTAAATTAAAAAAGAGAAAAGTCATTTCCTTCTTTTGCTTCTGTTTTAGTAATTTGTAAAAGAGTGTTTTCAAAATTCACTCTGCAGTAACTGACAGTGACTTGGCATCTGTGCCATCATTTCAGTGAGATACCATTGACAGTGGCAGCTGAGGACCTCATTGATTGTTTTGTTTGTTTTGTTTTGTTTACTGATGATTTCTTAGATCATGTTAGAAGTGTGTGTGTAGTTTTTCAAAGTCTTGAAATATAATAATGGTTTGATATAATAGGAAAGTAGGTAATTGTTTAAATAAAAATTCCTTCTAAAGTCTTTATCATTGGAGGAAAAGTTGCTAACCTACTTTTAATTCTAAACATATGGCTAATTTTTTTAAAGTAATTTTCTTAGTCTAGAATTTATTGAAGTTTTGTAATCAAATCCCGGAACTATGCATGGCAGAGAAAGGAACACTTAGATACTCTCTGTAGGCACATGGATGATCCAGTGGAAAGAATTTAATTGTTTTAATTCCTGAGAGAACCACTGGAATTTTTGTTATAAGGAATTCCTTGTTAAAGATTCATTAGAATATGAGTATTTATAATACTTCTTGGAAGTTGGTTGTAAAAATTTTCTTTATTTCCCAGGTCTCTTACAAAAATGAACTCTTACAAAGTTCCTGTTTTAAATTTGCTTCCCTGATCCTATATCAGAGCTGTTGTTTTGCATTTGTGACAGTATTTATGATGCTTCCAAGTAATTTACTCTGTATATTTTTGTAGAAAATAGGATGAGGTACTGAAACGTAATGAGAATATTCAGCCTGTTTCACTTCCATTGTGATTTCTTGTTTGCGTTAAAAAATTTTTATTTCCCATAATAAGTTCAAACAAGAATGTTTGGGAAATAATCAGAAGAATAGCAACAAGATGCAGTATGACTCCAAAATTTTGCTGGGGGTAATGGGGGGAGTGGGGAGGAAGTTATTCTCTCCTTCCAGTTACAGCTTCATATCCCATGAGAAGGGCATTAGGGGAACAGTTTTGAGATTTTTCTGAACACATTTTGGTCATTTTTTGATTTTAAGTAGAGGTACAATGATTCTCACAAGATTAATATTTTGACCTATTATAGGTCAGAATGATTATGCTGTTTCTCAGAAGTAGAAAAAATAAATTATACTTGAAGTGCTTAAATATTAATAGAATATAAGTTGATTATGAAAAAATTATTTTGTATGCTGTTTTGTAATATGCCTTTGCTGTCAGTAATTACCTCTATAATTTTGTAGTTGATTGTAGAGTAATGTTTTAAAGAATGCATATTTATTGATTGGCCTAAAACAGCCAATCAGCATGTTAATATGATTTGATGTAATTGTGCATTAAATCTGATTATAATTATTTTTTGACAGGATGGTGAAGTGGATGCTGAGGAACTTCAGAAATGTTTGACACAGTCTGGAATTAATGGAACTTATTCTCGTGAGATCATCCCCCCCCCCCTTTTAAAATACTTTTTAAAATCTTTTTATCACAGTTGTATATGCACATAATTTAAAGAGTCAAATAGTTATGCAAAGCTTATTGTGAAAATAACTGTTCCTTGTGCATAATTATCTCCCTGATATTAACCACTCTTAGAGGAAATCTCATTCAGCTTTTGCAGCTGATTCTTTTGAAATTTGCCTCCGGATCTCAAAATAGCATCCTTTTATCACTATAGATTTTCAGTTTTAATGATTAACAATTGATATCCAGCTATGGAAGATGAGAATTAACTCTCTTGGAACTTGAAACTCACTCTTGTCCCAGTACTCCACACTGGAATGCTTCCCAATCTTACTCCATCCAGTATAGCTGTATAGTAATTTTTGTTAGGTCAGTAATCAGTACTTGCCTTATTGTTATTTTCTAAATGTTCTTTTTCTGTCTTGTGATAATGTATGATTAATTTCCCTTTTTATATACTGTTTTACTTTTTCTGAAATTAATCATCATTCTGGAGCTTTTTATTGTGGTCTACTTTCTATGCATAGCTGCAAACCTATCATTCCTTCACCATCATTCTGGAACTGACTTTCCATGCCCTTTTGAGTTGGATCTCCCTTTTATTTCATCTCTAGTCATTTTAAAAAATACAATAAAATATAAAAGTAACTAGCTTCTCAGTAAGAGAGTGCATGGGAGGAAAGTCTTTTTAGACTTTATCTGAAAATGCTTTCATTCTGTCCACAGAATTAAGTGACCAGGTATGGAACTCTGCATTACAGATCATTTTCATTCAGAATTATAAAGACATTGCTCCATTGTTTCTAGCATCCACTGTTACTTTATCTTCTGTTTCCTGCCAGTATGTCAGTTTTTTCACTGTGGAGGCTTGTGAGATCTTCTCTTCGTGCCAGGTTTGGAATTTCATAATGATGTGCCTGGTTGTGTTGTGTGGGAACTCAGTGGGCATTCCCAGACTGGGAATTCATTTGCTTTAGTTCTGAGACATTTTCTTGAGTGATGTTTTCTCAATTTTTGCTTCTGGAATGTCTCTCATTTAGACTGCTCGCTTTTCTTAATATTTTTTTCTCCTATCTCTGGTTTTCCTCTGTGGGGAGATTTCCTCAGGTTTATTTTTTGAATCTTCTATTCAGTTTTTTTTTTTTTATCTGCTATCATGTTCTTAAAATGCAAGAGCTTCTCTTCTTTTTTCATGTATGTGATGTCTTCCCTATCTCTCTGAAACTGTATTTTTGTATTTGTTGCTAATGCATTTTTCAGAGTTTTTTCTTCTTTCACCAACTGTGTTTCCTCCAAATTTTTTTCCAGTTTGTTTTGTTGTCTTTCATGTTAGATGGCTTTTCTCGGGTGTCTGATGATCCTTAGTTGCACGTATTGAACTAAAATGCAGGTGAGAAGCTCTGAGGTCATGGTTTGGTATTGACTGTAGACTTCCACATCTGGTGGTTTGGTGGGGCAGTTTGTTACGCAACAGTATGTTTAGAGATTTCCTTTTGGGCTGGTTGTCTGGTAGGAAAGGAGGAGGGAAGACTCAGCAGGGTTCTCAGTCTTTGATAAACTGTCACTTAAATGCCTTATTTTTACCAGATAGCCTGGGGTTAGGGTTCCAGTATGTGCCTGGTATCCTGCAGTTCCCAGACCTCTCCAGAGAATAAAACCCCAGACTTCTGGTGGGGTGAGAATTGACATGGCAGCCATCTACCAATTTGAGGCAAGGAGGGTTGGGGGCTCTAAATACTCTTTAAATAGATATTCAGTTGGTCCTCCTGGTTTTATCTCTATCTTAACACTTGCTTTCTGAAAATACTGCCAATTTTTAAATGTTTGGGGTCTTCTCTAGGATAATTAGGCTGGTTCTCAGCTTTTCTTATCATGTGTTTGGAAAGCCAGTTTCTCAGATCTAGGGTTAAGATTAGGGTGAGAGTTAGGGTCAGGGTTAGGGTTAGGTAGGGTATGTGCCTGGTATTCTACCGTTCAGAAACCTCTCCAGATGGTTAGGGTTAGGGTTAGTGTTAGGGTGAGGGTTTGGGTTCGAGGTTAGGTGTTAGGGGATTGGATTTAGGGGTTTGGGTATGTCCCTAATATCCTGCAGTTCAGAGACCTCTCCAGAGTATAAATTCCCAGGTTTTGCTGAGGTTAGAATAAATATTATAGACATCTCTGGATCTGAGGCAGAGGGGATTTGGTGCTCTAAATGCTCCCTAAATAGATATTCAGCTGGTCTGTTTTTATCTCTACCTTCATACCCATTTTCAGAAATACTACCAATTCTTAAATGTTCAGGATCTTCTCACGGAGAAGTAGGCTGCTTCTTGGCTTTCTTTTTTTTTTTAGGTTCTTTTTTTATTTTATTTTTTTTTATTCTTATGTTAATCCCCATACATTACATCATTAGTTCTAGATGAAGTGTTCCACGATTCATTGTTTGTGCATAACACCCAGTGCTCCATGCAGAACGTGCCCTCCTCAATACCCACCACCAGGCCAACCCATCCTCCC